TCTTCTTCTTCTTCTTCTTCTTCTTCTTCTTCTTCTTCTTATTATTATTATTATTATTATTATTATTATTAAACATGTTTGACTATATAATTTAATGATTATTGTATTATTATTAAATAAAATATTGTAAATGTATTAATAAATATTATTATTGCTGTTATTGTTTGATAATAATAATAATTATTATTATTTTATTATTATTAGAACAAAATATAAATTATAAATCTACAATTTATATTTTGTTCTAATAATATTAATAGTTATTATTATTATTATTACATAGTATCAATACTAATTACTATTATTATAATAATTATTTTATTATTAAATATCATTACAATTATTAATAATAATATTGTTTAATAATAGTAATAATGATTAGATTATTATTATTATTATTATTATTGGAACAACATATAAACTGTATATACAATTTAGTTAATTTTATTGTCTGCATCACATCTGTCTTACCCATTTGTTTTTATATCTGCATTTTAAAACAAATTTCCCCCTTTTTCTAGTCTGTCCACATTGGCAGTCCACACCTGGAACCTCCTAAACCAGATAAACAGTTCCTCCTTTCCCCTCCGCCATCACCTCCTGTGGGTTGGGAGCAGGCAAAAGACGCCACGCCCGTCATTAACTATGACCTCCTGTGTGCCATCGCTAGACTAGGGCCAGGTACATCTCACATTCTTTTATTCCTTAAATTCAATGTTGTTGTTTTTTTTTTACACTGGTTTATGGCTAAATGCAGGGGTGCCCAATTTTGTTCCTGGAGGGCTAGTGTCCTACAGAGTTTAGCTCCAACTTGCTTCAACATACCTGCCAGGAAGTTTCTAGTATGCTAGTTAGAGCTTGATAAGCTATTTAAGTCTAATTGGGATTGGAGCTAAACTCTGCGGGAGTTTAGGCATCCCAGGTTAAATGGGTCAGTAATTAATTAATTAATTTAAAATTGCCTCCTTCTAAGAGTGAACTCTTTCTGTATGGCAGGTGAAAAATATGAACTCCAACCAGGAACTCCGACCACTCCAAGTGTGGTTGTTCATGTTTGTGACAATGATCAAGAAAGCTCAGGAAATGAGGAGGATATGGACGGAGGTGTACGTCAACGTCCGAAAATCATTCAGACTCGTCGTCCGGAGTACACTTCCTCAGTTACACAGTGAGCCTAGGGGGACTGTCATTGTGCCATAATCTTTGCTTTTACTGTCAAAGGACCCTCTGGGGGGGTGGATTTCTGTCGTGGCATGCAGTTGGTTTTTCAGACCACTAGAGGACGCCTTAAGACAGAACCCCAGCCCTGTGGAGAGAGAGAGACATCACGTATATGTCCACCATCTCACAGGGCGAGAGGCTTCACTTGCATGCATTTGATGGTAGAGCGACTCATTTTTCAGCAGGCCGGGGGTTTTCAAGAGTGCTTTCATTGGTAACTGTGGCCATGGAGAACACAGAGTCTCCTATAGTGTAGTGTTTTTGTAATTTTGGGAAGCATGTTGAATCCCAGTCAGTGGGTGTGTTGAAAATATGAGTTTATCTTTTATGTTAGGTTAGCTTGATATTTTCAGGCTCTTATTCTAATAACTTGATGTGCAAGAGTGGAACTTCAGCTAGGGTAAATGCTGACTTTTTTGTCGTAATGTGGGGTTTAATTTTTTCAGTCATATGGCAATAGAGTGCGTTGATGCCCGATCCAATTTTTGCAGCAGTGCTGGTTCTGAAAGTCTCGTTCATATTTCCCCATAGGGGTTTTTATGTTATACGCCTTGTAACCAAACCAAACAGCTATGAGGTGAATCACAATTACAGTTACAATATTTGGTAACATTTCAATAAACACGTGTCTGTTATTAAGATTATGTTGATGTTGATTAGTACTTAAGTACATATTCTACATAATCTTATTTTACATACCTAATCCTACCTAATTTCTACCTTCATAACAAATAAAAAGGAGCAAATTAGAAGTTTAGGGCTAAAGTCATTATCAATGGTTTATTAATAGTGAGATTTGTATACAGTATGTGACTTAAATTTTGATTTAAAGCAAAGAATTATAGTAATCATATAAATAAAAAAAAGGACAAAGACTCACGAAGGCTTCAATGAAGGAAAGATTCACAAGTCCAATGAAGCATTTTGAATGACATTATTGAATTAAAGTTGTTGTTTTTTGTATAAAAAATGTTATATTTCTACTTAATTGTAAAATAAATGCATTTACATACACTGGTAGAGTTAGCAAAACTGAATTTTGAAGCTGTTTCATGTGGGAGTGGGTGGAGCTAAAGATCTCTTGGTAAACTTTTCTTATTGCAGCTCTCTGATTGGTTGAATTTCTGTACAGCATCATGGGTATTGTAGTTTTTCTGTACAAAATCAGCTATTAAAAGGTGTATACAAAAATAAATTGAATTAATTTGAATAAATGTGTTAAATTAAGAACCAGAGTTCAGAAATGGTCTGGATTTTAAGGTTTATCAGGCTATATTAATAAAATAACAAACAAAAATGACCATATGGGGAAAATGAATGGAGTTTTTATTTCAGGAACCCGGCTGTTGCGCTTCATTGTGAGTCTCAAAACACCATGTGCCTCGGCGTGTTCCTAAATGAAGTGCTCTAATATACCTGACCTTTTTTAAGCTAATTCGTTTAGATATCTAATGCATTTAATTACTTTCTGAGAGCCCACCATTCAAACCCAAAGTAGTCCTTTAAGATTTTTTTGAATGAACTGAAAGGCATGGTCCTCGATTTCATGCACTTGAGTTGTTTGTTGGACCATAACACTGTAATTGGGTTTTGATGGAGGACTGTTACCAATATGAGCACCAACTGATTTTATTACATTAAGCTCAATAGTGTGTTTCCTATGCCTTTTACTGTATATGTCTGTATATAATGGTATACGCATTCTTTTTTACTTGATTTTGAAAATGTCACTGACTTGGCAGAGGCTTGGGTGTGACCTGCCATACATGAATAACAGCCATAACTTCATTAAAAAGTTAATTTTTCTTCACAAAGTTGTGCCTTGTCTTTTTTTAATTTTTTTCATAAAGAGTAACCATATTTAACGCTGCTATATTATAACATTTCTGACTAACAGCCTACATGCCTCTTGAGATTTATGCATTTAGGCATTTTCAAAAGATGACTCAGCGTTCATCCAGTATGCTGGTATATCGCAATAATGACGCAAGTGGAGGACTTTTCAAGGTGATGTCTCTCTTTTTTTTTTCGTTTTTCCTTGAAATAGAATCTGTGGGTCTCGAATGCCTGCCTGCCTCAATGGACAGCATTGTTCCCACTTGCATGTGGAGCTATTTCACACCAAGGTCAAGTTAGAAAAGGTGATAGAAATATCTACAGTCCCCAGTGACTCATCTCCACCAACATGCATTTTAAATAGCTTGATAATGTCTGTAAGAGGCATTGAAAACATCATAGAGTCTCTGATGACTGTTAATTAGAGCCAGACTGATCTGATCACAGCTTTAGTCTAGTAGGCAGAGTTTTAGACCTAGACTTTTCTCCATGAAAAAGCTGATAATGACCTTGACTTGTTTTACATTCATTAAAGTTGTTGACATCTTGAGAGGGTTGGATCTTTGTGAATAAGTCTGTGTATGTAAATGGTTGGGTGGAACCGTGATCCCAGATGCTATCCTGTATTTCTTAGTGTATTTTATAGGTACGCTGCAAGGAGACAAGCAGGAAAGATCCACAATACAAATTTTTTTTGACATTTTGCAGTAACTGGAAAGTCCCCATTACCACCAAAGACTGTAAGGTATGCCTGTTTTATATATAAAGATGTTTTAATTTAGCTCTCGTAGTTGTTTGTGTGTAGAAAATTATATATTTTTTAAAAATATGATTTTAAATGTTATATGATTTGTTTTTATTCAGAAAAAAACAGCTAAATAATAATTAATATTCTACTTATTAATATTACTTGTATTTAGTATTATTATATAATTTTATGCGTCATGTGTCATAAGCCTTTCCTAAATATCAATGTTAAAAAGATAGGTCACAATTTATTTTATGGTACAGCTCTCACTATTAATAAATCATTAACTATAACATTTGCCTCTGTAAACTCCTAATCTGCAGCTTATTAATGGTTATTGGGGTAGTAGGTTTAGCTGTAAGGTAGGATTAAGGTTGTAGAATAAGATCAAGAATTATGTACTTTGATTTAAATAAGTGGTTGGATATGTGTGTATAGCATCTTTAGTTGAACTACCAATAGGGTATGCACAGTTAGTGTTTCTTCACATACCGATAAACTTCCGGTAAAAGGTTTATATGACTTTTAAAAATTTTATAAGGTTCCTTTTACAGCATTGATGTTGTAATGTAATAAAATATAATCAGTTAAATAGACTTAAGCATTCATTTAGTTGTTCATGCATAAACAAGATTAAAAGCCATTTATAATTATGCACCATCAGAAGCAGGTGAGCGCAGAAACTCCATTGAAAATAACGGGATAAAATGAATTTATAGTTTAAAGACAGGGCGCAGAAGAAAAAAATATTTAATGCAGTGCTTCGTGTACATTCTGAAACACACTTTATATCGTATATAAACCAGGCAGTAAAGACAATTAATTTTGTAAAGAAAATTGACTTTAAATGTGCTGATTTTGTAACGATGTACAGTTCACTGGAAGTGTCTGACCTAGGTTACTGAAAATATATATACTGTTTTCTCACTGTTAAATAGTAGCTTATTGCCTGTCTATTAAGATATTAGCTGTTTATTAGTACTGATAAAATATATATTCTACATACTCTGTCTTATTTTACACCAACTAATAGCTAAACCTACTACCAATAGCTGTTATAAGCAGCAAATTAGGAGTTTATTGGGTAAGAGTTACACTTAATGGTTTATTAATAGCAAGAAGTGTTCGTTAAACTAAAGTGTGACCGAAATTTCTTCCAAATTCACCTTTTAATGTTTGTGTTTGAATATATAATGACAAAACTGACATTTAAGCATAACTAGCTTTTAGATCAAAATGATGTCAAACAAATTGTTGACATATTTGAGTAACCCATTGACTTAACTTCCCTTTTATAATTATGCACCGTTTGTTTACTAAATAATGAAGCAACAAATGTTTTCTCTTTTTTTTAATAAAGTCACCTAATCACGCTATTTACAGTGTATGAATATACTGAGTCGACTTGTCTGTATGAACAGTGTGAAGAATGCTGGAGCAGAACTCCACAGATGTGCATTCCCTGCTGGTTTCCTGGTTCCAGCAGTACTTTAATGAGAGCTGGTCAATAGGAGCAGCTCCACACGCATCTCCCCATCCTCCACCTGTGCATCTGAGCGGAGATAAAGGTTACGGCATGATCTACATCTGTTTGATGGTGGGACTCTTCAGTTTCTTTACCTTTGGCATCATGTTCAGCTACATCCGCTCAAAGAAGGTGGAGAACTCACGGGATCCCTATCATCAGTATATAGCCAAAGACTGGGATAACATAGCATATCCTGTGGTCATCAGCAACCCTTCTGCTCTTGCCCAACTTCCAGGGTACAGTGGAAAAGACCAGGATTCAAGCTAGATTACTGATGGTGGAAAGTGTAGCAATCTGATTGTCTGTTTCTTTAAATTGTATGTTCTCAACTGTTGTTAGTTTAATGAAATTCACGTAAATGTGCACAGAAATAAATGACAAACTATTTAATTTCTACAGTGTGTTTTGCTGTATTAATCATACAGGATCATCCCAACTCTGCTCTAAAAGCAAAAAGCAGAAACTACATATTTGGGCAGAGTTGTGACAGAGTCGCCTGGTTCATTTTATCCTGTTTCAGATGTAAATTGCAGTAACTGCAAAATCCAAGCTGGTGTAAAAACTTTAAAGGCATTTTGTTCTGTTTCAATGTTTACGTAGATACTGTACCATACTATGATTGTTAGGGTGCTTTCACACTTGGTTTAGTTGCCTGGACTGTACACACCTTCTCCTGCCTTCCCCCCTTGCCACCTTCTTGGTTTGTTTGTGTTCACACTGTCTTTTTTCCTTCTGAACCCCGGTACGCTTGCGTTGTCGAGCTGCTGTTGTGTGTATGGCTGTTGCTAGGTGACGCCCACGAAAACAAAGCGACAAAATGGAAAGACGTCCGCACATCACGGTTGTTCTGCTTTCACTGAATCTTTTGGTTTTGGACATACAGAAAGCGACTTGCATCCATCTGCCGCAAAATTATTATAACTCTATGTCTGCAGAAGCTGTTTTTGGAGGAGACAAGCAGACATTATCACTGTGCTTGCCCTGGCTCAGTCCCTACGTGATAGACTCACACAAATGAACATTATGAAAACGATAGTTTGTTATACTGTTGGCGGTTCACTTGCGTTATTTGGTACGATTGCATTCGTACCAGATGTGAACCGGACCAGAGTTTGCGTGAACTGTACCCCAGACCACCTCTTTCAGGTGGACTCGGGATGGTTCATAAATGCGCAACCGAGTTCAGAAGACACGTTCACACTAGCTAAACAAACTGCACTCTGACGTCAAACAAACCCGGTGCGGACCAAAAGTGCTAGCGTTCGTGTGAAAGCACTCTTACTGTGCTCCAAAACAAATACACAATTTGTATTTTGACATAAGCATTCAAACCTTGCCGTTTCTATCACTACACTGTAAAAAAAGTTGACTCGGCTTAAAATATTAAGGCAACAAACTTCAGGACATTTTTGAGTTAACTTTCAACCCAATTACTGCACTTGACTCGATTTGAGTAAACTCAAAAATGTCCTGAAGTTTGTTCCCTAAAATTTTTAAGTTCAGTCAACTTTTTTAGTGTACCATCAACAAGGTCCAAGGATCAACAAATGTTTTTAAAACATAACTGTGCACTTGCGCTTCTCATCGTAACATGATGAGCAGAAAACATTGCTCCTCGGTGTTTGAACTTTCAGCAGTGAAATTAAAACCACACTGAGCTGAACTAAACTGAACTTGAACTCTGAAATCTGGACTGACGCAGTTTCAATTTACTAGAACTTCTATGTAAAGCTGCTTTGACACAATCTACATTGTAAAAGTGCTATATAAATAAACATTGAATTGAACATTTAATTGAACTTGAAATGCCAATTTGAGACCAAACTGAATTCTATGCTAATTTATACTATTAAAGGCAAAAATTGTTTGAAAGATTTAGCATTGTTGCTTTGGTTGTACTATATCAGATTGGCTTTAGCTTATTGACTCATCCTGGTCAAGCTGATATAAACTGAATGCTAATGGCTTACTTGTTTAATAAGGAGGAGCTATTCGATTTGCCCTGCCTTCATGGTTCAATTGAAATTACCTCATGCATTAAATGACCCGCTCGTTCCACAGCACTCCAGGAGACCTTTAAAAGGTTAGTAATGAATTTCATGAAGTTTATTTATAAATTAATTTTAAGAGGAGCACATGCTTATGATTGATCACGGCTGGTCCCACATTAACTAACGCATGATATACCAATCAGATGATTCCTACCTCGCTATAAATAATCGGAGTTTCTTACTTTAGTTATCTTAACCTTGAAGAATCCCCCTTCCACCTCTAATCCTCCACCTTTCCCGTTATAACACGGAATGGTGGCCCAGTGGTTAGCCCTGTTGGCTCACAGCAAGAACATCACAGGTTTAAATCCTTAACAGGCCAGTTGTCATTTCTGTGCAGAGTTTACATGTTCTCCTCATGCTCGTGTGAGTTTCCATCAGGTTTTCCGGTTTTCCTCCCAAAGTCCAAAAACATATGTCATAAGTGACCTGATCTATCTAAAGGAGCACTATAGTCGAGCTCTTAACCAGCAGTATATCTCTAAAAAGCCATTTATAATCTGTCATCAGCTCTAAATAAGGGGGGAGTTCTCGAGATCTACCTGAGTTCAAACTCCCCTCTCATCCTGCAAACATGTGGGAGCTCCGGGCTTGAAGATCTTATGAGCTCAGAACTCTCTCTAAGGACAGCATGCCAAACTCGCTTTATAATCAGTCATCAGCTAAGAGTGAACTCTTGAATTCAGTATTTTCTGAAGATGCCTGTGCATAACCTACTCTGTATGAAACAAAGCACATTTGCATCCGAGATTTTTAATGTCAGCAGTGAAATTGAGCACAACAGACACATCACATCATGATGATGACATCACTTTCATCAACACATAGTCATGCACCCTATACTGACACTGAGGAATATGCACGCAAAAGAATATCTGTAGCTTAATGATATTCCGATTGAACCACTGAAAGCATCTAGACTGTTTTGAGAATGTTTTTGCTATTTTTCTAGACTTTGAACAAGACAAAGCTGTCTTAGAGGATCAGAGAGCTCTTTGATTCAATCTTAAAACCTATGTAATTTTGCGTTCCAAAGATGAACAAAGGTCTAATGGGATTTCTGCAAATGAGTCCAGACCATCTGCCATCAGTCTGCAGGTCTGAATTTGTGAGTCTAAAGAATAACTTTATATAATCTGAATGAACAGTTGGCATGGCAATGAGGTGAGATTCTATCTCCACAGAAGCATACATTTAAAAATAATGGCTCTGCCCTTAAGAGACTGGACTGAACTGAACTCAGTTTTTTTTTTGTATGTAATTTGAACAGAGGTTTTAGGCATCTCTGAGACACAGTGAAAAAAGCTAAGTTTATTTTAAAAGTTCAATACACCCTGGAGTACTTTTCTTAAGAAAATGTAACAGATTTGTGTGTGTTAAGCATCAATTAAGACAGTGTTAGCACCTGTCAGCTTTAATTGTGGCAAAAACTGGAAAATTTTGAGCTTTTGTCAGCCAATTTTAACTTACGGGTCTAAAATCGGTGACGTAGAGTAAATCTGCTAGTGGAGTGATGATGTGTCAGTTTCTTATTTTTGTTCATAGCGGACTTTTCTTATCCTATAAGAAGATCCTGCTGCTTGATTATTCATGAGGGCTTGCTTTCAGAAGGCAAGGCAGACCTGCCAAGCTGTAAGACCCAATGACTGGATGAGACCGCACAAGGCAAGCAGTATTTAGCCGTTCATGAAGGGTCGTATGTGTTTGCTTCCATGATTCACAGGGTTTGTTGCATGTTTTTCTCTGAGATGCTGCCAGCGCCGATACAGCAAAGCTGTTGGGAGGCAATTGGGCCCCTAAAAATATTTCTGGGGCCCAAAAACTGTGTGGGCTCTTAGAATCATCCTAACTTTTCCCCTCTAGTGGCACCCCTGAACATATGTGGCAGGGCATTTAATTACTGTTGATTTCTTTACATTTTAACTTTGTAAACTATAAAATCATGCGTCTCCTCACGGTTTGTATCCAGGGTATCTACAGGGTCTTAAAAAGTCTTAAAATTTCTTAAATTTTAGGCCTTAAAAAGTCTTAAATTAAACTGAAATAATGTGTTGTAGGTCTTAAATAATTTTAAAAAGGTCTTAATTTACCTATGTCCATGTAAAGCTACCGAATCAGGCTAACACCCATTTAATCACTAACATTCCATCCTAATTAAATTTTTAACAAATGTTTTTTAACTCTATAGACCAATATGGTTTAATTATCCTCCTTCCAAAAACGTTTGTTTTTAATATTTTTTTAACGTTTTAAATGGGTCATTATAAAAAAAATTCCTAGCGCTTAGCCTTGTGTAAGTCTTAAATTTCATTCATAATGGTCTTAAAAAAATCTTTAAAAGTCCTAAATTTATCTTGATGAAACCTGTAGAAACCCTAGTGTCTCATTTCGTGAGCCAACTGACAACAGTTATTTGCTCCCTTTTTTTTTTTTGTCCCCTGCTCTGCTGGCCACGCCTACTTCTCCCTTTGCTCGCAGCGCTCCACGGCCATTATGAAGATTTCTTTTTTTTTGTAATTCTGAATTTTGAAGTGGACTTGAACTGAAAGAGGGGGGTTTAATGGGGGTTTATATATATATATATATATATATATATATATATATATATATATATACACGTGTTTCCAAAGGACCAAATCGACTTTAAAAGAATTTTCTAAAGCCTTGTGTAATGATACTGAAAAATCTGTTATGAAATTAAAATGAAATCTATAGAAATATATATTTTTATTAATAAAGTACTTAAACATTTTAATGTTATTACAGTTTGTACAATATTTAAGATCAAATATTATTGCAAAACAAATATACAAGTATTTATATCACCATGATAGTATTTATTGTTATTAATCTTCAATTGTTCAATTAAACAAGACAATAACTATTCCACACTGTATGACAGTTATAGCAACAACACACAACCTCATTTCAGCAGATTCTGCATCCATGCGATGAGTCCTTGTCTGGTGTGCTGAGACATTTCCGTCGTCTCCATCTGCTCCTTTTCATTCCTTTCTTTTTCTCTCTCCTTCTCCTGCCTGAGCAGCAGATCGGTTTTCAGTATCTTCTCCAGCTCTCTCGTCAGACTATAATGCACCATCTGCCTGCTCAAAAGAGGCACTATCAGATTAAAATTGTCCACTTTCTTATTGAGTTTCGCCAGTTCCTCAGCAAACACAGCGCAATGCTCCTTCCACTGGAGGCTTTCTGAGTGTCTCATGGGTTCCCCTAACCTAGCCCTGACCTCCTGCAACCTCTCCCTCATTTTACAGATGCTTTCCCTGATCTCCTTCTGTGCCACAATCCATTCAGGCTGGTAACCGTTGTCGATGAGGATTCTGTTGAGGTTGTGCGTCATTGGATCCATGTATGGGTTGTAATCAAACTTATTGAGCGGTTTACCAGTGCCGCTGAGGTTCTGAAAGTCTCCACGAGCCATTGATTCCTGGATGAGATCCTCAACCAGCCTTTCCACCGCTTGAGTGATTTTAATCTTCTTACTGCGCAAACGTGCATCCCGGGCCACCATTGCTCCTTCTTCTGCGGCTGCCTTCTCCATCTCCTTGCGTCGATACTCCAAGACCTGATCGGTAGCACGATCAACTCGAAATTGTCTGTATTGTCGTTCTCTCTGACTAGGAGTTCCAGAACCAACGCCTTCAAAACTCAGGTATTGTCTGTGTTGAGGAGCATTACCTTTCACTTTCTCGTCCTCGTCTTCCTCCATAGATTGGGTGTACTGTGAAGCTGACTTCTGCCGAGCGAGGTGGGCGAGCACAGCCCGATAGGCCTCCTCAATCTGGGAAAACAGGTCCGCGTCTGCTGTGGGAGCACCGGAATCGGGATGGTAGAGTTTGGCCATGCGGAGGTAAGCCTCTTTGACCTCTGCAGGGCCACTGGCTCCATCATCTGGCAGTTGCAGGAGACGGTAACTCTCTCTCAAGCTGCGGCTGAGAGCTCCAGAGCTGAAGGATCGCAGTGTGAGGGAGGAATACAGGGGCAAGACAGACCTGCGGAGGTCCAGACTGTGCAACCGTAACACCAAGCAGCTCATTGTGCCTCATGGATACAGCTTCTGAGGATACAGAAATGGCAAGTTATTTCAAAATGTTGACAACTATTGACTGCACCATGGTAAAATTATGTTTATCAGTACATTTTATTACTTTTTAAAGAAATCAAACCACATCTATCTATCTATCTATCTATCTATCTATCTATCTATCTATCTATCTATCTATCTATCTATCAATTTATCAATTTGTCTGTTCAGTTCTGATAATAAATTTAAATTTAGCTTAGCTTATGTTAATTAGATTCAATGATTCATTCATTTTCTTTTCAGCTCAGTCCTTTAATCAGGGGTAGCCACAGCGGAATGAACCGCCAACTTATCCAGCATATTTTTTATGCAGCAGGTCACTTCCAGCTGCACCCCATAACTGGGAAACATGTTAATTTAATATACTGGATATATCTAATAATAATTAGATAAAGCTATTTAATTTGAAGCAAATATGTGGTAATTTATCAATTTTACTTTAAAGTAAAAAATAAATAAATAATAAGTATATTTAACTACAAAGTAGATAAAGACTTAAATATTATATTTAATAATATATAATATTATATTTAATAATATATAATATAATATATTTTATAATGTATAATATTATAAAGACTTTAATACTGTGCATTTTTATTTTCCATTACAACTGTAACATTACAGAACAGATATTAATTTATGGCTAGTCATTTTTAATCAATCAATCTTTATTTTAACTTAAAATCGTCAATGTATAAAATTCTCCTAGGTCATCATGGCTTGCTAGATTGCAACAACAGTTCGTACAACGCTTGAGTTGATATAAACGATTTTATAACCACTGAATGATTACGATAGACATATTTGATCATGTGTGGACATAGCAGTCAAGTGTTATTCGTCAAGTTTCCTGTAACGTTAGCAAGAGTGCTAATGTCCAAAGTGCATGTCAAACATGAACGCCTAAAAACAACACAAACAATATAACGTTAGCAATGACAGCCAATACCTCGCGGATTCAGTTCGAATTTTCCCACTTCATCGTGACAAAAGGTCAACAATATTTATGTTATGAGTGACACCGCTCTTCAATGTATGCACTAGGGTTTGTTGTTATATATTTATGTCGAACAGCATGCTGGGGAATGTAGTCACCGTTTTCGGTGCAAAGCGCTTTCTAGAGTTGGTCCTTTAGATGGCGACAAATCTCAACAGCGGATTTCCACACACTTCACTCACTTCTTAAAATTCCTAAAATTGTCTGTTTCATCGACTGAGTACACGTCTGCTGCTGTCAACGCTGTCTGTGTGGGGTAAGTGTTGACTTTTTGGAAAACTAACTGCCAGTAAGAAAAAGGATCGAGGCTGATGTTTGTAGTACTTAATTACGTGTTAATAATTATTAGCCTATGCTATTGATGCTGTTGATGAACTGGCACAAAGCCTTGGTAATCAGATGATTATCAATATCTTGCTATAACATCTATAGGTTAGATCTATCTATCTATCTATCTATCTATCTATCTATCTATCTATCTATCTATCTATCTATCTATCTGTCTGTCTGTCTGTCTGTCTGTCTGTCTGTCTGTCTGTCTGTCTGTCTGTCTGTCTGTCTGTCTGTCTGTCTGTCTGTCTGTCTGTCTGTCTGTCTGAACAGCCGTAATTTTGACTAGGCTAGATTTCATATAAAATATGTATTGATTGGTTTGTTAAATGACTGTGTGTTTTGTTGCCTTGTTGCCTGATCTTGTTACACACGCTGCAATCTTTAAGGAATAGCTCAGCCAAAAGTTACAATTTTGTCATCATTTACTCATATTTACTAGTTCCAAACCAAAGGTTTCTTTCTTCTGTTAAACACAAAATAAGATATTCTGTTACTTCATTAGTTATTTTTGTTTTCCTACTATAGGAGTCAACGTGTGCCAGCAACCAACATTCTTCAAAATATCTTCTTGGTCAACAGAAAATAATCTCATAAAACCACAGGGGAGGGAGAGTAAAGGGTGAGGTAATTTTCATTTTTGGGTGAACTACCCCTTTAATGTCTCACAGTAAATTCCATAATAATATATTTTTTATTATTTTGTTATACAACCTTCAAACTCTATTAAGTGTTTATAATTCTCTGCCTACAATAAAACATTACCGTATTTTCCATTATTGACAAAACATTTCCTTTATTTAATAATTAGTTCATTCATTCAATCAGACATTTCTTTATTGATTATGACTATACTGTGCTGTAAGTTCCACTTCCAATACCTATATAACATTTAGTTTGTTTATTTATTTAGACATTTGTTCACTTTATCTTCACCACAGACAGTCAATGTATGTTAAAGGCTGTAGTGCAAGTGATTGTGACAGGGTTTTTTTCATATCATCATCACCTGATCTGTACTGAATTGAACCATGTAAGGTCATCCAATTCATCCACAATTGGTATAGTGGTCAATGAGTTTTTGACTTAGGCTACAGAGGGCTCCAAACTGAAAAATTAAGCCGGCAAGTTATTGTATATTATTTTTAAGCATTTGATTATTTCTTAATATTTGATTTGTCCCACAGTTGCTCTCATTGTTGATATATATTGTTTACAATACATGCATATTTTTGTTCATGTTATTTTAGTATGTGAAGTATGAGAATCCAGAGGCTTGGTGTAGTTTTACATTATATAGCCTTTATAATGGCCTCTTTTTAATGCTTTTTTTTTTTTGTTAAATTTAGCATACTTTAATTCAATAAATTCCAACTCACGTAAGTTGATAAACAACATTAACAACAACAATTGTGATCCAGTTGCGTGTTTATAATCAGCATATGGCGCAGTCTGCTGGATTAAAACCAAATGTTTATATTCAAATGAGTGTGATCGGTCATGTGAGTAAGCAATTGGTGAACTAATTTGCCCAGAGGAACATACAAGCTTTTTAGCATCTCGGGAATCAATATTGTGAAATCAATGGCTCTGCTGAAGTGCTTTTCCCTTGTGCGATTTGTGTTGCACGTACACAGGGACACAAAAGAATTGCAAAAAAGGCCACAAAGACACAACATTAAGCTCTGCTGCTGAAAAGAAGACTTAAAATAGCATCTGAAAAGAGCTTATTGTAAGCGTAGACTACAACATGACCAACTGCACAGATGAAGATCTGGATAACTATTTGCTAAATCAGGTGACCTACTTATGCTGTCATTGGTTTTATTGAGCACCGAGATCTAAACTAAACTGTTAATGTGTTATTAGTTTTTATTATAACCATTTCATTTGGTGTTTTAATTAAACAATAATAATTTTAGATGGCTTATTTTTAGAGTTTTTAAAAATTATTTTATTCAGTGTTTGTTCTGCTCTAATCGAATGTGTTATTGTCTTGTTTTTAGCTTAAATGTTTTATATGCGAATATGCTGTACTACTCACAATCTTTACATCTTACCATAGTCTTCATAATTGACATGTTTGTTAGTTTTTTTTGTTGTTGTTATTTACTTAAATATCTATTTGTTGTTAGACTATCCAGTTTTTCTTAACACAGGCTGCATAGCATTTATTTATTTGTTTATTTTTTATTTATTATTTATTAATTTAATTAATTTATTTTATTTATTTATTCAATTATTTATTTGTAGTCAGATGAAAATATGTTTAATTCTTTATTCTTTTTATTCCTCATTTCTTGTTTTATTTTATTTTTGTATGGTAATAAAATATTTTTATTTTATTTTATTTGTAGTTGCATAACTTGTTTTATTTTATTTTATTTTGTTTATTATGCTGTCTTAGTGGTGTAATGTTTTTATTTCTTGTTTATTTTCTTTATTTTTTATTTAAAATTTGTGTTAATAAAATAAAAATAATAAACAAATAGCTAGAGGATTTCTTTTTATTTAGTTTCATTTTATTTGAGTTTAGTGTAGTATTTCAGATAGATTCAATAAAAATAAAAAAAACATTCCTTTTTTGGTTTATTCTGCTGTTTCTGATGTTAAATGTATCGTCAGGTGGATCTCAGACATCGGCAGGTTTCAAAGTGTGTCGAAGATGTGCAGAAAATCATCAAAGATCTTACTACGGAGGTCAGCTCAAAAGACGCTCGCTTCCAGTCCATCGCAAATGCTGGAGTTCATAACGCCAGCCTCAAAGTAATGCTTCACATAGGCCTCATCTATATAAAAAATACTAACTGCATTATAATGCTGGATTTATAACATCATGTTTTTTCTTGTGTCCACAATCTAATTCAGGACCAGCCTGCTTTAATGTCAAAATGGTCTGCATTACTCAGAGGGAGATGTGCATACAACCCTGCCATACAAGTAAGCAGTAGTATTTATTAAAAAGGTATAGATCAACCCCAACATTTAAATTCTATAATTAAAATTACTAGGTAAGTCAATGGGGAGCTGAACCAATTTTGGCACCATTATCATTGGACATTCTTTAAAATATCTTCTTTAATGTACCGCAGAAGAATGAAGGACATACAGGTTTGAAACAAGTAAATGGTGTCAAAATTGTACTTTTCCTATTTACTGTTGTAAACTTTAACTGGTGTTATTATGTAACATGCATGCAGCTACAAATACTTTTGCTGCGGTACTTTTGCAGCATTTACATAGGCCAGAGTGCACTGTTTGATTCAGATCTATATTCTAAAGGTTTTTACAGTGGCACCCCAGGTCTAGAAAATTATATTTTAATATTTTTGGACTAGACAAAAGACAAAAAGTCAGAGTAAGAAAAGCTTATATTATACAGTAGATAAACAGAATAGATGTACTGATTAGTTTGATGTTTTTTTTGGGTGACTTGTGCAGGTCCTCTCTCCAACCCTGTACCTGATCTCAGTGCCTCTGCAGGGCCTGATGGGCTATAAAGAGAGACGGACACGTCAGTGGCGTTATTATACACTGACTGGCTCTCGTCTCCTCTCACCTGTTCGTGAGCCGGAGAAGCTCCACCAATGGCTTGAGCTGGAGAGTTTTGTCAACCCGAGTCAGGAGTGGCACGATGCCCGCATGACCATCGAAGGTGACATTGTGCCAGCCAAGGTGGTGAACGTCTTCAAAGATCTTCTGGAGACGTCTATAAAGACCCGCGGACTGACAAGTTAGAGTTTTAATATTTGTTTAATCTGTGTGTAAATGCTGGTGAATAATGAAAAATCTCTATACACTAATGATATTCTAGTCACAAACAGAATATTAATATGCTTGATTTAATTTGATGTCTCGATATATGTTCTGTTGATAACTGGATAACAGATTTATTTATTTATTAACCTTTTATTTTTGTTTTGTTATCCTCTTATAATATCTTTTCATATTATAGATTCCATAAGTAGCACAACATTTAATCTTCTGTTTGTTTTATACACCATATACACCATATACAGTTGAAGTCAGAATTATTAGCCCCCCTGAATTATTAGCGCCCCTGTTTATTTTTTTCCCCAATTTCTGTTTAATGGAGAGAAGATTGTTTCAGCACATTTCTAAGCATAATAGTTTTAAAAACTTATTTCTAATAACTGATTTATTTTATCTTTGCCATGATGACAGTAAATAATATTTTACTAGATATTTTTTAAGACCCTTCTATACAGCTTAAAGTGACATTTAAAGGCTTAACTAGGGTAATAAGGTGAACTAGGCAGGTTAGGGGAATTAGGCAAGTTATTGTATAACGGTGGTTTGTTCTGTAGATTATCGAGAAAAAAAAATTGCTTAAAGGGGCTAATAATCTTGTCTCATAAATTGTGTTAAAAAAATTAATAACTGCTTTTATTCTAGCCGAAATAAAACAAATAAGACTTTCTCCAGAAGAAAAAATATTATCAGACATGCTGTAAAAATTTCCTTGCTCTCTTTGACATAATTTGGGCAATATTTAAAAAAGAAAAAAAAAATCAAAAGGGAGCTAATAATTCTGACTTCAACTTTAGATATATCTATAGATATATGGATCTATCTATATATCTATCTATCTATCTATCTATCTATCTATCTATCTATCTATCTATCTATCTATCTATCTATCTATCTGTCTGTCTGTCTGTCTGTCTGTCTGTCTGTCTGTCTGTCTGTCTGTCTGTCTGTCTGTCTGTCTGTCTGT